CGCGCCCGCCCCTCCACGCGCACCCCCTCGTGCCACTTGACCCTCGATGACCGTCTGCGGCGAATGAGTGCAGGTCTCCGAGTGGGATTTTAACCTTTTTTGCACAGCAGTCTCTGCAATTAGCGCACCGACCTTCGACTTCGCTGTAAACCTCCTGGTTTTCCCACTCACTCTCCTGTGAAGTTATCCTCCTAACACTCCTCTTCCCCTCGTCTTTTTCTCACCTCCTTCTCTTTCTTGTAATGAAACTCTTCACCTTTAGGAGACCTGGGCAGTCCTGTCAGGCAGCAGCGATTACGACCCGCCAAGTCTCGGCCTCCCCATTAACCATAGGATGTTGACTCTAGAACCTGGACCCACCCAGCGCGTCCTTTCTTGTCCCCGAGTGGATGGATGGATGGATGGATGGATGGATGGTAGGGATGTTAATAATTTTAGTGGAACAAAGCCTGTGAATTGATTGTACATAGTGTTAATTTATTGTAACGAATGGCTAGTTTTTATTCTCATCGTCAAGGCACAAAACCAGTTTCATGCTTAACCTTTTTATTCCTGTCCTTTCTTTGCTTTTCTTTTTCTCCTTTTTTCTCCTTCTTTCATTCATTCTTTCTCTCTTCTCTCTCTCTGTTTTAATTTTCTTGTGAGATAATGAACAATATTCTAAGAGGCTCTAGAAACACGAAATTCTCAGTAGTGACGAGTTTCCCACTTCTCAATCCGTTGCATGAAATAATTACGATGTGCCCTCATGCGCACAAATAGCTAAGGAGAATCCGCCCAAACACCTGTAAAGGGTAGGTGTCTGTTCATAGGCAAGTTGATTAAGTGGCATGATGCCTGCAAAGCAAAGTCAACTGGAGTTGTATGCCCCCTGCCCTTCCTTCTAAATAGAATAGCTCGACATCAGCAATATTATTTTGCCTTATTTGTTTTTCCCCAAAGTGCCAAATCCATTACTGGTCTGTGCAGGTGCCAAATATGCTGACAAACTGTTTCTGAATATCTTTTCAGTCCCCCCCCCACCTTTATATGCTGTAAATCTTTGTAATGAATACTCTATTAATGATATAGATGACTGAATTGTTGGTAACTATAGTGTAGTCTAGTGAAGATGAATTGTGTGAGTTGTATATTTTACTGCATTTTAGTTTTGAAAATGACTTCCCCACCACCTAGACACAGCTGAAATTTGACTTCCTTGGGAGAACACTAGCATTAATGCAAGTAAGACTGATTTTCCCCCCTCTATAAGTCTTGTTATATTTGATAAGGAGCATTAATCCCCCTGGAAATAGATTAGTAGGATTTCTAATGTTGTGTAGCAAACCTATACTTTTTTTGTATTTTAAAATTCATGTGAAATATGCATCATACACAATATTCAATCTAGATTCCAGTCCATGGGGGGATTTTTCCTAATAGGAATTCAGGGTCTAAACGTGTGTATATTTTGGCTCTTCTGTAAATCTAATGTTGTGATTTTTATATTTGTTTCGTTTTGTCTGTGAATTGAATAATTTATACGAGTACACACTCCATTGAGAAACGTTTTGTTTTTTGCTCGTTTGTATCGTCTGTGTATAACAAGTAAAATAAATCTGGTAAAACGCTAACTATGGTGTTTGAAAGCAGTTTACAGTTTGAAAATAATTTAAGTATTATAGATGATTGCTTTTAAGTGTTTAGGAAGACTAGCACGTTCCCAGTCCAATATGGGCAGTCTGTTTAATGGGAACCAACTCCCATTTCCATCTTAAGTTTGTTTTATAGTATACCAGGAATTACTTTTTCCTTACGATTTACAATTATTTAGTTCCCTATGAGTCAAGTTTCACTTTTCTGCGCTCATTCTTTTTTCTTCAGGAAATTATATGCACTTTTCTCTCAACTTAGTTATCTGATTCTATCTGAAGTTGGAAATAATGCGAACAGTAAAAAGAGAATCTTTAAATAAGGAGTTATGAATTTCTTTAAATTTCACAAAGTAAGGCGGGAGGCCTTGGGCGAGACTAGGGCGTGATTTAAATGCTTATCACAATAGACTGTTGACCGCAGATTTCAAAAATTCTGGTCTTACATAGGGAGGCCTTGTGGGTGAGGGGCGAATCTGTATACGCAAACACAGAACGGCCTACATTTCCTGAGTATCAGATGGTTTCGGCGGATTGGGCAGGGTGGGGGTGGAGAAGGACCCATAGAGCTAACTCGTGGAAGAGTTGTTGTTAACCACTGAGCCTGAAGCTTGCTTTTGGGAGGTGTGGCAGGCGGGAGTGGGGGGGGGGACCAATCTATCTTTTCTATAGTGGAATCCCTATCTATGCCAGTCTTATCCAGGACAGATTCACGTCCCTTGAGATCAAATGCAGAAATGTGGAATTCCAGCCCGGGGGGCGCTGCGTCTTAGCTCAGGCATCCTCAGAGCTCTGTCTTTACCTCGTGGAGAAGCGATTTTTGTACTCTTGTCTCCAAAGAGAGGTGATCCCAGAAAGAGGCGGAAAATGGCTAGACATTCTTGCTTAGTCTGGGCCAGCCTCAGGTTAGGGGACTAAATTTACCACCACCCAGAGATTGTCCAGTGTCCCTTGTGCAGTTTGAAGACGTAAAGAGGCTTCAAAATTCGAATTAAAATGAAAATTCGAGGGAGGATAAAACTGACTTGCCTTCCCTGGACAATTCCGCCACTAGACGGCGTTCCGTGGAGTGTTGCCGGCCACCTTAGAAAAGCGACGACTGACTTTCCTTTGTGTTTCTTTCTCCCTCCCCACACCTAAGAACTAACGGAGGACGAAGAGTCCAACACGCGGTGCATGTGTAGCGAGTGAAGTGTTGCAGTGCATCCACCGAGTCACCCGCCCGACCCGGGCGCCGCTTCCGAGCCCGCGCCCTCTTCCGCCGAGGAGGCGGCGGCGCACGTGCGGCCGGAGGGCCCGGGACCGGGAGGGGCGTG